TCGATTTGGGAAACAACAGATAGGATATAAAGATATTGAACAACGTAACATACAATTTACTGTCTCTCATATATTCACAAGTGTGCAATTTATGTAACTCAACTGTAATATTTGTGAATCTGATTTCAATTTATGACTATGTAATGATTCCTATTACGTCAACTGTGTCTAGTCCTCGAGTTTGTTAATGATATGACCCTTCTAAATCTAATTTTTGTAAACTTTTTGCGCCTTTTCTTTTTAATTTACATGATTTAGTCCAAAAAGGAGTATTCTTGTTTTCTTGTTTTGTGACCAATTCTTACCTGAGTGACAGTTGACCTTTTCATTTATACGCAAACGTCATGTCACAATGCGTTACACGTGCTAGAATTTCATCCCTATTAGTGACAACTGGCAAATCCGCGCCCTAATAACAAATGTTCTCACAGGATTGGCTGTGGATGACAGAAACTTCAGTTAAAGCAAGCCTACCTACAATGCTCCTTTGATTATTCATGGTGCTTAGCGTCCAGGTACTGACCACTTAAAAGCAATTATAGAGGGATATTATCTGTGTATGAATAAAGAAACAGCCATGTAAGTATACTGGTTGAAGTCTCAGTGATATTCCCTAGGTAGTGGCAAACTCTGTATGACGTCTATATTGCACGAGGGACTCATTAGCACACTTCAGTAGGTCGTCAGGGTATATGCTTTTGGCAATCAGGAATGGCTTATAATTTTTTTCTTCAAGTCAAAATGTTTCCAGTACATCTGAATATGTGTTTTTCTTGGTAGCTCAAAAACATTACCAATTAATTAATCACAAATAGCAAGGGGATCCGCAAATAAATCCTTACTTTCAAACTATGTTTTCATCCTAAAACGTAAAAATCATCCCTCAATCTTGCGTGATATCTTTATTTTCAATTTAGAAAGTGTTATCGTTACCAAAGAAGCCCAGGTGCATTTGATCGGGATATAGGCTTTTGCTAAATACGGAGCTAAAGTTGGCGATTTCTTATCCGACACCCAGTCCATTTTGAAATTATTGCAAAATATTTAAGTTTAGAGAAATTTCAATCACTACACGGAAAAATAATCACGTCACTGAATTCAAGAACTTTCCATGGAAGATTGTGTGTTGTATTCACTTACAACGGCTGTCCCTTTTGGCGCATTCAAAGGCAATCTTTAGACATGCATTGTGAGAGCTTCAGAGAGCAGTGTAAAATGAAACTCTAAGGTGAAGTAACTTTACAATGACTTCCACATGGTCCTAAACTGACAAGTTCATAGTGATAGCTAACCCATCGTTTTCACAGTTAATCTGACCCGAAGGTTGTGAAATTGTGTAAGTTGATAATTGGCATCGTACCCAAATCCCACTTTCTGTTTATGCTATTTATAAAAGCGTCTCAAATGTTGTCAACATCCTTCCACGATTTTCGACGGCCTATAATTATATTATTCAACAAAGTGTGGTGGCAAATTTTCTCAAACAAACTCGTGATACATGCGTAACTCTGACCGAAAAAGGCTACACTTTCAAGTGTATTTTGGCATCTCTTCACAATTCGGTAAGACACAACATGATGGCATGATTGTATACCTGTATGCTTAGGAAATTGTATTCGTAATTAGTTTATTTCCGCAACACGGACTTTCACAGGAGGAATCCCATTAACCACTCTATTTGTCAAGATATTCCGTCTAGACAGGAAACATGCGGACGAAGTTTATTTGATTGGCTCTATGGAGGGAGTTTTTTAATGGTTAACCTGTACACAATCAGCTTGGAAGCTCTCATATTTTGCCAATTTAGCCAGCAATTTACTTTTTACTTATTACTTAATGCCAGTGACCGATATAATTTGTCTGAAAAGAAAACGTTTTCAAATTGACTCTCATTTAAACCCTTTACCCTTGACAGGGAAAGATACTAGCTTTGACAACGCGAACCTTCTTATTTTGAAATTTTCACTGAAAGCTATCAAAGCTGCACTCGCGAACAATGAAGTGATTTGTTGCGAACGCCAAAAAGCCCCTTTATTACCACTTAACCAGATGATAAAGCACTATATCATAACTTTAACAGGATGTTCTGCAGCTTAAATCATCATTCATGCTCATTAAATACATTACATATTTCGCAAAATTGGGAGCACTCCATTAGTTATTATTGTGCAAAGCTATGGCTTCTGCGCTGTTTGTGTTTTATACTTGCAGTGCAATGTTCTTTCTGCTGCATTTTCCACACTGCCCAAGAATAATTTTTGTGTCCCCACTAATAAAAAACTTTTTTACAAGAACCTATCATCCGTCAAGGGTCTAGGCACTTATATTGAATTGGTATCACAGTTATGCAAGTCGATTTACATGGCCCCGTCAGTTGAACATAACTTCGCTTTGAAAGAACAGTCAATTAGAGTCTAAATAAAACGTCTTTTATACAGCGCTTACTGAAACTGGTGCATCTCTCGCTTAACAAAGTCGCCTGAGCACCTACTATTAAAGGAAAGGTGTGCCAATAACAATAAGCCCCCTACTGTGGAAATCTGTGTGGACTAAATTGCGAGCAATCGTGGTGGTAACGATTTCGATCTTGGGAAGCAGGTTCCTATTGCACATTCCGAAAGACAAAGGTGACACGATTCCAAGGCGCAAGCCTATACTTTTTTTTCAACATAACTTTTCCATTTAAACCCTCTTCATTCGAGGCAACTTGCTTCTACATATCATAAAACGACAGTAGCGAGACCATGGATATCCGACGCAGTCTCACACTTTCCCCTTTTCACGGCGTGCCACGCTAATCCGTCTGCTCACTCACCGTGGGCATGTACCTTCACTATCCGCTTTACCCATTTGACCATCCGAACACTTGTATGCTAAGTAGTACACCTGATTGTATTAGATATGCACCACAGTGGCATACACAACATAACTTAGTTGAGCTATCTCGCAAACAGTTGTGACTCACACTCTTCACACTGTCTTCAAATTCGAGGGTATCAGTATGTTTTAATCAGGCGTGGTTTGAGATTACACGTTGGGCCCCTCAACAGCTGCTTTAAATATGTACTGACAACATTTACGGCTCATTAACCAAACTCTTCATTAGAATTTATCTATAGGTAAAAGACTCCAATTTTTATCGTTACCTTCCCCGAACGAATTTTACATTAACGTTAGTAGCAAAATTCATATTCGATTGAAATAGCATTTGTCATACGCTCCGGTGACTGGACCTAAAACACTTTTTTAGAACTTTCGTTGTCTTTTGGGCATTTATTTGTGATCTTTTTACTTATATATCTATAATATGCCCATTATCGCTTAGACTGATTATAAACTTCTTAGAACACATCAAGGCTACTTGCAGTGACTAATGCCACCGCCATCTTAATGTTGTGTATAAAGAATAGACGGCTTTCAATCTTATTCATAAGAGGGACCCTTTTATTCGTGTACTGACCTGGCTCGTTAGCTGTTTTAATCGCACCCACGCGCTCCTTGAGAACCGACTGGCCAACCCACCCATCCACGCCATCCTAAGCCATAGTCACTTTTGGATGAAAAAAGTGGTAACTATGGTATAGGTGGGAGCTAATTTTCGCGCCACAAGCACAGAAAAAGCGGCATGCCTGCCATTTATTTCTTTATGCGAAAGCAACAGACAGAGTTACATTTTATCATCAGCTTTCGAAGAAGGCGAACAGGTACATTGCCGCCACCGCCGCCGCCTCTACCACCACCATAGGCATCGTTGGAAATGTCAGATTGGCTGGTGTCCGTCGGAGTGTGTGGGGTGTGCAACGCGGAGAAGGAGGAGCAGTGGCGGCAATAGTTTCCCTCATTTGGGTTTGGACAGACTTTTTCCTCAATTCCAATTATGCACATGTACACTAGAGTTCCAACAAACCGTTCTTTCTAATAGAATGGGAAAATGCACTGTTACAGTGGCCGTACAGATGTGTAGCTAATTTTCCAGATGATTTTTGCGTTCCTTTTTTAATGTTGATTTATTAGAAGTGAGGGAGCTGAGAGGAAAAGCGACAGTGTAATTGAGATGACCGAATCAACTTCTCGTTAGTCAAACGGGCAGCACTAAGTCAAAAAAGTCCTCAAGAGTAAATCGGGTATATGTTGATTTTTGCACTTGGTTTAGCTCCAGTTGTCCCATATTAAAAATTCATTTCACGCACTCCGAACTTCAAAGGTGCTTCTGATAAATGAATCATTTTAAAATCAGGTTTCAGTGATTCATTAAATAGACTTCATTTGTATGACTCACTTCTCATTGGTTTGATTAGCCTAAATATAAAAATAACCCAAATAGAGGACTGTAGCCTTATTGGCAGGTCGTAATGATCCTCGTTTGAATCACTTAAAAGTATTCTGTCAATTTCAGACACCAGCAGGAAGGAGTGTTTCTCACTCCGTTTCTATCCCAGACGGACAAATCCAAATGAAACATATTTGTCACCAGAGTTGCAAAATGAAAGTCTCCTCGAGTATATGAAAATAATCTAGAAATCTTCGAAATTGAGATACAAGAAGCACCATTTGATCTTACGAACTAAAACAGGTAGTTACATTAAGATAAAAGTTTATGGACAATTGAACATTGCCAAAGATGTAAAGTTGATGCCCATTATGCTAACCACAGGCTTGTCTAAGTAAATTTTAAACAAATCCTTAATTTTGTTGTTAAATAAAATATTGTTCTATAAATAACGTTCTATAAGTTAACATCTTCTACAGGGACTTTAAAAATAAACACCAATTACCGATAGAAATAACTTCCTTATATCCTGTCAACACCAAAGTTAAGGGTGTGTGGACAATTAGTTTCAACACTTGCCAGACAATATCACAACTACGTTTGGTAAAAGTGGCATTATTGAAAGAAGTGTGTTCCAGGTAAATCCATAAATAAGGTATTTGTGATAATTTGGAGCCGTGCAGTGTCACCTAATGAATCACTTACGAGCACACTACTTGAAGGCCAGTAGTTGGTTTGAAAGCTTCGTAAGACCCTGTACACTAACACGAAGTGGAATCTTAATTTTCGATTGCTTATTTGTTCTTGTGTAATTGTTTTGTGTGTTCTTTATGAATAATTATTTTTCATCTCCTTTGCCAAATTTGATCTAGGTTTATGACAATCCTTGAAGACTATAATGACGTGCACTATTTGAAGAACTAGATAGACATCCCAAATCTCACTGCTAAGGATAAGTTATAACTAGCATCAGCTTACAATAGCCCCCATTTCGGTGTTCAGTTTTGGAAACTCAGTTTCGTTGGGCTAACATGTACAGTCAGCATACGAAATACGTTTATCTAATCAGTACACTGGCTAGTGAGCTAGCCAACGACATACCGGACTTGCCGCTTCACCTCGACAACGACTTGCCTCATGGTCAGTTAATATCTGCGATTCTGAAACGTAGGCATCAGCCGACTCTTTTCTTCAGATGAGGTGATAAAATGGTTTGGCAGAAAGACGCATTAATGAATTGGTGAGTCAGTCAAAGTACAAGCGACTGAATGACCAGATGCGTGGAATGCGCAGCCGGCAAAGTGTGCGCCCTCGGGCTCTTGATCAGACGTGCCCGTACTGTCTTTGAGAATGCGACGACCGAGTTAAAGTACGTAAACCAACACAATCCACTGCGGGTGCAACATAATTCTAGTTAATATTTTGAGCAAAGAAGATATTTTAAAAGTTAGTGATGCAAATTCTTCTGCACTTTTAACTCACTGTGCTTTGGATTGCCACTAATTACTGCCTTTAGTTTTAAGTAGCCATCAGAAACGCAGATGTACCACTTCCTAACTTTACACTTTATGACCTATATATATTTGTAATATGCAATTTTTGTACTCATGTTGTGTTTAACTTCACTGTCATGGGTGGTAATATGTTCATATCATTTTGAACATTTTAGAAGAAGGTGGCTATTTCGTGTTTTCCCACGTTTGGTCTACGTCTTACATTTCTATAGGTTTATTTCTGCCGCCATATAATGATGCCGGCTCCGGTGAAATTTCACAGAGGACTCTGGCAGAGGGTAGAAATTTAATTTTACATGCTGGTCCAACACAGTGGAGATTTCTTACCTAGACATCGGTTATTTAAATGACTAAAGTGGGTGCAATAGAGGCAGCGAGACCTTCATGACTTCGTACTTTCTAAATACAGAAAAAGGAACTCTTTAACACTTGACTGGCAAAGCGAAATAATAAAAATGTTTGTGCGTCTATCCCGTGCGATCTTGGGGAGTTGAAAGCATCAGTTCGCTCTTTAGCAAATCTTCGGGTTTTGACTAGAACTAAATGCAGTTGAATTTTGAACATTTCTCAAGCATCCACATACATCAGTGTTTAGAATAGGTCTGCAAGATTTAACGTCGGCGGTAAATAATAAATAAAAAAAGGCTTTTGGACTAGCATTAAGTAAAAAAACTTTTTTTGAGGAGATGGACGTTCGGCGTCAAGCTTCCGCTCCTGGCTAAACACAGCAAAGGGCAATATGCAACCAAAATTTAAACAAAATCGGCTAGGAAGCTGGAACTGAAGAGCCTGCAAAAACAGGATACGTGATTTTGCTTTGATTGAAGTAAAACCTAAAATTTGGATCCAAAGTTGCTAGAACGATACCCAGTAGTCGCATATAAGCTTCATTACTTAGTTCTCACGAGATCTGAATGAAATTTCATTTACGGCTCGACCATTTAAAGGTCCAAAAAAATCTGTTTATATTTTCATATAATTATGCATGCTAGATGTTAATGTAACTACACAAAATATTCTTCTTATATTAGCCATAATCATTAAGTCAGACTTGCATTGACTTGAAGGGTTTCCCCCTCTGACAGTGCTCCGAAATCTTCGAAAATGAGTGGAATAAAAATTTTCGATAAACACGGCATAAATAAAAAGGTTGCTGTTCTGCTAATTATTAAATTATTAGCAGGGGGCGAATCCAGGGTTATATTGCTGACCACCGACATAAAAATTTGACCCCATCGCTACATAACTCAACCAATACCACGTTACCTCACGCAAAACCCAAGCGCCTAAATATCTTACTTTTGCATTGTCTTGTAAGTAGACAAACATATAGTTTGTAAGGTTAGACAAAAAGCACTACCGCTTTGTAATACCTTCCATTGGGACCTTGAAATAGGACTCGGTGAAGTTATGCACCGCAGCGGTAACAGCTGTGGCAGATGACTTTCATTCTATTCGTCACCCTCGCGAGTAGTTTAGCTGTCATATTTTAGGGGTACACTGTGGTAATTGGTTTCATTTTGATACACCAATAAACACTTTTTCTGAACAAAATTAACTTTTTTGAAGACTGTTAACAGCCAATTTTTTATTCACAATTTCTGATTGGGTAGGATAACTTATCAACGCGGAAAATCGAGGATCGGACATTCTATTCGCGAAATTTACACCGTAGGTACCATTTGTACACCAACTACCTCCTCCTTTTAATGCTGAATTTTCAGGGTCTGTTGAAGAAAGTTGCATGATCTCCGGTTTACTTGAAATCCACTCCCAGCCCTTTCTCCTCTACGCCGGTAAGAGAAAATGGGCGCGGGACTTGGGAGTATGAATACATATTCCTCCTGCAATTCTACTTTGCTTTTTTAGTATCTTCTCATTCTCTATACAAAGCTTGCATCCACCATATTTTTGTCTTCAGGCACACTTTATGTAGAGTAAAACTGAAATATGATCCCTTTGTGTGCCTGTGGACTGCAAGGCGAGAGGGATTTTTTAGATGTCTTTCCACCATGCCGTGACTGTCCGTTTGTCGAGGGGTTTTGCATTTCCTACACATTCTCGCTTTTATATGCTAAAAAGATGGCAAGTGTAGGTCTTTTTGGAGCCACTGTATTGTTGAAGAGAAAGACAAAAGTAAACACAATGACAGAAATGATGATTTAATATTCTTTCATTCACTTGAGATGGCAGGCAAAAGTAGGTGCCTTGCAGCCAAAAGCACAACGCCTGACTTGAAGCGCAAGCACCGCATTTGCATTGGCTCGGACTGGCGTACCTTATGAGTAAAAGACTGAGTCAGCGACGATGGGAATTAACGGATTTAAGCGCTTTAGAAATCTCGCCTGGACGTCTCCGCTAGATATATTGCTTAAATGACTATAAATATATTTCACAATATTTGATTTACCATTGATTGACCAAGTTTTTGACCGTTGATTCATATTTTGTAGGTTGGTTTTGTAAAGCCATTGTATTTTAGCTGTTAACTTTTAACACAAGTCCTATTCATTAAGATGTCTAGGTGAATTAGTATATAAGCTTTAATTGTGATTATGCATACTGCTTGATAAATCGAGCAATAAAGAAATAATGCAGTCCTCTTAAATTTGATGTTCAAATCCTATAATAAATAAAGCAGAAGTATGTTCACTTTGTTGCTCTCACATCGCATTCCTGGCACAACCGAGTCTAGCATCACTGAGCACACGGCTGAAACCAAGTTTGTACCACAGCGCGGTCGAGTGAAGCAATAATTATGGCACGTAAATCGAATTCACCCCATTAATTAATTTTGCATCCTGAAGATTTGGCGCACCCACTTGTCCTGTACCTATTATGTGCCTAGTCATGCACAAGCCGACAAAGTAGCCAAACTATAATTTGGACGATCTATTCACTGAGGCACCATAAAACAGTCTAACTGCTTGGCATAAATACCTGTCTCCTCCACTTCCGTAGTATAGCCGTTAGGCAGGTGTAACGTTTTTTCACACAACTGGACGTCGAGACAGGGCCATTCATATTTCACGGGAGCGTCGGAATGTGCGTTATGGGAGAAACTCCTTGGCAAAGATTATAATTCACGCAAGAGGCCTTAC